GACCACCTGACAAGCTGTGTGACCACGGAGCCCGTTTCTCCCTCTGCAGCACATGGGGGTCAAGGGCTCTGCAGCCAGGTGTCCAGAGCTTCCCCCCACCCCGGCCCCTTATCTCAAACACACAGGCAGGGTGTGCGGGGCTGGGGCAGAGGCAGCAGCCATCAGCGAGGAGGGTGGAGGGGACACAGTGCTGGATGGGGTGGGGGTCCGGGGGCCACCAACTGAGAATAGCTCTGGAGGGTTCCCATCAGGGGCTGGGGAAGGGGAGGTGAGGAGACACGCCTTCACCAGGGTTTTTTAAACCAGCTGAGGTCCAGCAGCTTTCAGGACTGGCCTTGGGCAGGTAATATTTTTAAAAATAGTCTTTATATTATTTTTCCATTAAAAACTAAAGATGGGGCTTCCCTGGTGGCACAGCGGTTAAGAATCCTCCTGACAATGCAGGGGACACGGGTTCGAGCCCTGGTCCTGAAAGATCCCACATGCCGCGGAGCAACCAAGCCCATGCACCACAACTACTGAGCCTGCTCTCTAGAGCCCGCGAGCCACAACTACTGAAGCCTGCGTGCCTAGACCCCGCGCATTGCAACAAAGAGTAACCCCGCTCACCGTAACTAGAGAAAGCCCGCGTGCGGCAACAAAGACTCAACACAGCCAAATAAATAAATAAATAAATAAATAAATAAAACAACTAAACGATGAGTTTTGCAAGATATGAGGTCCTGGAGATCTGTACCCAACAATGTGGACACCACTGAACTGAACACTTAAAAACGGCCACAATGGTGCATTTCAGGTGATGTGCTTTTTACCACAATTTTTAAAAAGGAGAGTAATAGACAAGCTTCAGAAAAGTTGGAAAAGACTGAAAACTAACAAAAGACAACATCCAACCCCCAAACACCATTAATTAATTAATAACATTTGGACACACTTCCTGCTGTCTTTTCTTAGCCCTGATGTCCCTCCCTCTAAGAGGAAGGCCTCTGCGGGGACTGCAGGCCAGACCCCATCCAGGTAGAGGTGGCCCGGGAGCCGCAGGACGGCACCCAGCTGAGGGGGGGTGGGGGGGAAATGGGTGGTGCTCTCCTACTGGCTCTGCCCCGCATGCCTCCCCCTGCCATTTCATCTGCACCCCCCGCAGGAGAGCTGCAGTGTTCTCTGTCCCCTTCTCTGTGACTTCTGCTGTGTCCTCTCCTTGGGGACATTGGGGCACATAACTCACCACTAAGAAAGGTCAGTGCCACGGGGAGTCTGAGGTCAGGCAGGTGGGCTTCATTTCGGCTCTGCCGCAGGGAGACGTGGGCCGTAATTGCAGCCCCGCAGGGTGGCTGGACATATTGTGGGGGGATATGGAAAGTCTTCTTTCTCTCTTGGCGCCCCATACAGAGCAGGTGCTCGGCATGTGTGGTTGGTACCCCATAAACACACATCTCCATCCCGGGTTGTAGAAGGCAACCTTGCTTGCTTGCTTGAGACCACTGGGCTCTAAAAAATTAAGGGTACATTAAGCAAAATAGAAATTGATCTAAGTGATTATGTGATTTGGAAGGTAGTTGTTTTTGTGTGTGTGTGTATGATGGAGAAATATATACTCAGCTACCTTTTATTTAAAATCAAATATTGACTTAGTTGATAGAACAAACAGTAAGTTCCACCTTTTAGTCGGGAAAGAGAGAAGAGGGCAGGAGGAGAAAAGGGGAGAGGGACACAGAGAGGGGCAAACAGAGCACCATGCTGAAGCGGGTGAGAAGTACAGGGAAAACTGGCCGTGCGTTTCCCTGGGAACCGTCCCCGGGACCTTGCCTGGCCCTCAGACCCGCTCGCTGGCAGCAAGGCTGCTAAGGTCAGCGGCTGGGTCCCACCTGCTCCCGTCATAGGACACTGTTTAAGTCTTCAATGATGATTCATTGATTTATTCCCTGTTTTCTTCAACAGTCCTTACTGCATCCTGGACAGCATTAGGTCCTGACTATAATCCTCGCGAGGTTTAGCAACGTCCGCAACAGACGAAAAATAACATTTATGATAATGTGATGTGCTGGAACAAATAGTGATCGCCATCATGCTTACTATTTTCATGTTAATATTAAGGAAGCAGGCTGCCCCTGAGTGTGTGAGAGTGCAGGCTTGTGGAAACGGCTGAAGGAGAATTCGACAGGACCTGTTTGCACAGGCAGAGCTGACCCCCAGGAAAGCACGGGCAGGGCTGGCTGGCTGGCCGAACCAACGAGTCCTAGCAAGACGTGGGATCTGCCATCTAGGCTGGGAGCCTTGGGTACTGACTTCTAGGCTGGAGGGCAGAGAAGCCACTGATGCAACCGGCCTTAGGGCAAAAGCCCTGGACCTGCAGCTTGGAGCTGAGCTGTGCACCAGAGAGGTGGGGTTTCCTGGGACACCCGAGCCCCAGGGGACGCCCCGCCTGCACATCCAGAGGTTGATTGGTAGTTTCCAGTGCCTTGTGGGTGATGAATCCCGTGAGTGTTGATATACATGCCAGGGTACATTTTTTTGTGATATGTTATAGGCCAGAACTTGTGTCCACTGATTAGTTATCCTTGTCTTTGCTTTGCAATATCATTCGTGGAAAAGATTTAATTTTGCTTGTCCCTGCTCTAAACTCTGACCTTTGGTTCCAGTCACGGAACTTTGTTTCCCTGTGGTTTGGACACTGCTGTGGGTCCCTGGCCCCAGCCTTCCTAGGAGCTGGAGCCTCTCCCTGGGCAGCCCCCCACTTCTTGTTTCCTGCTCTCCTTGGCCACCGCCTCTCCCTGCCGTATCTCCTGCTTGGACCTTGGACCCCTGACAACAATCTCTGTCCACCTTGGGGACTCCCCCTCCCCTTCCTGTAAGAGACCCTCAAGTCACCTCCTCACCTCCCCCCGGCGCTTACACCTTGCCTGCCCCTCCCCTGCACATCTCTGGATCTTTTGGACCTGATCATCTTTTTTTCCAGCCCTTCTTTTCACCCACTGGCCTGTTGTGTAAGGAGAAGCTTCCAGGAAAGATATTTAAAGCTATGTTGTACTTTCACAACGAAAAGCACAAATGGGAATGTTTGTCCTTTTGCCACATAAACCTGTAGATTGGATTAAATAAGTTCATCTGCATCATTGCCACCTGCAGGTGCAATGCTCTGATGGGCCCTTTTTCTGGTCCCAGATTCCAGTTGGATGTGAAACACCGAGTAGGTATGTCAGGGCCGAGCTCTCGTCTGCTCCCTGCCCCATGTCTTCACCAACCGCACACCATGAGCCCACCAACCTGCCAGGTGCCCAGGTGCCCAGGCATCGCACGTTTAGAAGTCTTGCCTCCTGGGCTGGGTTATAAATTCCTCAGGTTGGAGACTAGACTTCCTGCGTGTTGCCTGTAACACTCAGCACATGACTTAACGCGCAGCTGCCCTAAGTGACTGTGAAGGAAGGAAAGAGGCACAGAATTCACAGCCTCGGAGGACTTTCCTTTTCTGAAAGGGGGGCCCAGAATATTACAATGGGAAATGAAGAAGAATTGTATAATGCCTCCCTAAACAAAGAGGTTTCCACCAGGGTTTTGTTCGAGTTAAATATAAATTCAGGTGGTGCTTTTAAAAGAGTCAGAATCGTTCACAGCTGATTATGATCCTCCAGGTATTTGCCGGAACTGCTTTCCCACCTCTCCTGCTGGTTTGTGTCTGGTCCTGACTGCTCCCTGCAGGGGTGGTGGGCATGGAGGGCAGGTGGGGAGTGGTCCGGCGTGCCTTCCCTCTCCGGAGGCTCTGGGCTGGGCGGCTTTCTCTGCTGACAGCCTTGCTGGGAGGGTGCCTGAGATAAGGTACGTAGTACCAACGGGAAGCCGTGTGAATTCTTCTTCCTTCTTCCCCACAAGAGAGCCATGGCTTTTTGGAGAGTCAGACGCAGCTCAGGCCGAGCCCGCCCTCCAGCTGTCTCAGCTGTTGCCAGGAATGCAGTGGGTGGCGGCAGCGCCCGCGCCCACAGGCCCCTCTGGCCCCAGATTCAGAAAACATCCCTCCCCACCCACGCCCATGGCTCAGCTCACCCCGATTCTATAGCCCTTCCCTCCTAAATCTATGTGTGACCAACTCCCAGATACCTGCCACGTGGCTCACTCATCCTTTCCAGGGAGAAACAGAGGGTCCCAGCGCCAGGAGGGGGCCTGGTCCTTCCGCGATGTGTTCACCCACCGTCCTCTCCAGGCAGGTACCCACTGCACCTTCACAGGTGAGGAAACCAAGTAAACCGTCGAGCCACACATTTCGACCCCAGCTTCTTTTATTTTTTAAATTCATTTGATTGAGGTAAGAACGCTGAACATGAGGCCGACCCTCCCCCAGTTCTCAGGTGTGAGCTGTATGACTGTTGACTCAGGTAAAACCAGCAGCCACCAGACGTCCTCACCTGACTTCACTGAACCCGTAACCCACCGCCTAGACCCTGGCTTCCTGAGCAGGAGGCAGGCCGGGCCTCTGCAGCTCTGCCTACGTGGCCTGTTTCAGCTGCAGTGGGATTGACTAGAAACGGATGAACAGGAGAACCGTTGTGTCGGATGCTCATTCCAGGGAGAGCTGGGGGGTCGCAAGACTTTTCTGTTGGGTGAGACTTTCCCACCCCCCGCCCCCGTCCCTGCCTTCCAATGCAGCTGCCCCAAGGCCTTCACTGAGGCCCCCGCCCCCCCCAAATCTGGCTTCCGCTCAACACCACAGCTGGAGAAGTGGCACCTCGAGGCCCCCGACTATTTTTATGTGGCCATCTGCCTCCTGGACAGGCCTGGCCGGCCTCAGCAGGCCTGAGGAATCCCACAGCAGGTGGTGACAGCTGGGCACACCGGCCCTGCCCTTGACCATTCCGGGGATGCTGGAAATGTGGCCTGAGGACACGGAGAGGAAAAAGGATGCCTTTACCTGTCGCAGCTCAGGGCGACGTGGTGCCCGGCTTCCTCTCCATCTCTGGAGCCCTGAGGCCAGCCCTGCTCTGTCTGCCGTCACCGGGGTCTGGGTGGTGGGCTGGGAGGGGAGCCCCCAGGCGTGCGGGTCGGAAGCTCTGGCCAGCTGCGGGACTCACTGCACAGAAGGGAGGGCGCAGCGCCCAGAGAAAGCACTGGGCTCCTGCTGGTGACGAGGCCCCGGGATCCCTGCTGCAGACTGAAAACTGCCAGAGCAAAATCCAGCTCCTTTGTAGAAACTACGATCATCAGTCATCGGAGAAAGGAACCCGCATCCCCAGAGAGGAAGATGGCAGAAAGGAGAGAGGAAACGTCCAGAGTGTCCTTTTTGCACACAATTTATTCATCACACAGGAGCGGGAGACAGGAGGCCCATGGGCGGATGCAGGCTGTTGTGGAGGAGCTCGTTCAGAAACTCCCAGACTCTAAGCCGTCCTTCTTCTGACTGTAACCCGCTTCTAAGACCCCTGTCTGTTCCACATTCTCCTCCTGCTTAATCCCCCTTAGAACAGGCCAGGGAGCCCCTGGACGCAGTAAGGAAAGGGGGAAAGGGCGCTGAGTCAGAGAGAGGGCTGAGTCAAGGCATCAGGGCACTGAGGGAAAATTCCTTTTTTGGAAGCCGGGCCGCCCCTCTCCAGGAGGCCAAATCCCTGGGAAGTGATGCAGCCCTCGGTCAGTGAGAGGCAGGAGCCGCCCAGCGGAAGGTGCCGGAAAGCCATTTCCGTCCTCCTCCCTCGCTCGGGAAGGGCTTCCAGCCGAGCTCCTTGTAAGGGAAGCGCTCACAGCAGAGCCCGCGGAGCCGGTGGCAGCACCACCCACCTCCGCCAACCTCCCCCCCACCCCCCGCTGCATTTCCCCCAGAAGCCGAGCAGGAGGGGAAGGGGGGCCCTGAGATGCCTTTTTAATTTTGCTCTGTTTGAAAAAGAGGCTGTGCTCTGAGGAATGCAGTTGCAATTCCTTTACTTCTGCCCCTCCTGCCTGCGGTCCTGGGCTCCCAGCCCTGCTGCTGGGCGTGTGAAGCAGGGAATGGGTGGGAGTCAGGTCGGCATAGCAGGGGTCCGAGGGGATCCAGGCTGTGATGGGGGCGGGGGCGGGGGAGCACAAGTCTGGGCCCAGGGGTCTGACTGCAGGCGGTTCTGTGCTTCTGGGACAAGCTGTGGTGTCTCCCACTGTCCTGGGTTGTCAGCCAGGAAGGGGACAGGCCTCTGTGGCAGCGTTTCTTAGGAGGAAAACCACAGATCCGAATGGCACCTGGCTCCTGCAGGTCTCCTAGTCTAGCAGCAGCGCCCAGTTTCCCCCTGGGAGCCGCACTGCCCCCTCCCGAGCCGTGTGGTCGGGGCTCACCCCGCGTCCCTTGTGGCCTGGGGTCCCGCCTGACTCGGCCACGCCCGCCCTGCATCAGGCCCCAGTTTGGAGCAGCTTTGTTTTAAGGAAAGGTTGCCAGTGCAGCTTGATCACCTCCAAAAATTCAGATCCACAGGCTTTCAGGTCACTGGGCTCATTCAGGGCCGACATAAAACCCCACAGTAACATCTGACCCTCCTGTCTCCTGACAGACTTAAAAGTGATTGCACGTGTTAGCAGAGCATCTCTGGCTGAGTTTTGCTTCTGTGAGGTGTGCTTTTCTGACATGAAGAAGACAGGAGGAAGAAGTGCGGTATCACAGCGACTCTCTTGACTGGTTTATTGTGGAGCCGCAGGCCTCATGCTGCCCACGTCCCCCCACCCCATCCCCACCCGGGGGGCCTCCACCGCCTGGCCCCTGGCAGTGCCCTCAGGCCCCTTTTCTTTCCTGAGCAGGGGACACGTGGTGGGAACACAGCGTCTTCCAAATGTGTCCCTGGAGAGGGACCTGCGGGGTTGAGGCCAGCGGAGACTCCGCACTGTGCACCCCTATCCACTCGTGATCCCCCGGCGAGGGCGCGGGCTGGGCACCGCCCGCTCCTCTGTGTCAGCCAGCACTCGGAGCATGTAGGTGCCCGTGTGGACGAGACACTGGCCGGTCATTTGGGCGGTGTGAGACAGGAACCACAGCAGGCTCCTGCAAGAGATGGGGCGGTCGGGCGGGGTGGCGGTCCAGCCTGTGGGGCAGAGGACAGGGGTTCCCCACTCCCACCCCCACATGCACTCAGGGCCACACAGCCCACATCCCAGCACTTTCCGGCCCCAGCTCCCAGGGCACAGCCCCCCATCGCCGAGATGCGGGCGCCGGCTCCGGAGGTCTGGGTGGGACCTGGGACTCTGCGTTTCCAGCAGCTCCCCTGCCACTGGCCTTGGACCACTCATCCCCTGGCCTCTCCTGAATGTGGCCTGTCACAAAGTCACTGGAATATGCTGAGCGGGCGGCCCAGGCAGCACGGGCTCTGTCCTCCTTTGGCCGCTTGCTAACCCTGGCGGCCTTGCCGGGGCTGTGGAGCTTGTTGCTGAACTCAGTTGAGTCGGGGTGAAAGGAACCCCAGGCTGGAGGGGACTCAACACACCTGCCGTTGCGACCCTGTGACCCAGTTCGCTTAGAGCGGACAGGACACCCCGACTCGACCCTGGGCATCTGAGCCTAAGGCTGACCTGGCATTCGTGTTGTTTCAGACTAAAAAATAGCTCTAACTCAAATTCTTATTCTCTACCAAGTCCAAAGCTGAGGAATTCCACGCATTTTAAGGTCCGTCCCTTCACAAGGAACCAGGGGCTCGGCCGCACTGGTGGGGGGACCTCCATTTCTGGCGTCCCCGCGGGGCCTGGCCGGCAAAGCCTCATATCTGGGGGCCTCCTGCAGCTGCTCGCACCACCCTCAGATCCACCAGACGGTGAGAATCAGTGACAAGAAGGCTGGGTCGTCTTTCGGGAAAGATTTTGCTGAGGTGGGTTCACTTTCTTTACACTTATCTAAGTTGTAACTCTCCCGTCTCACTTGAAAACTCAAGCAATCAAGCTGTTCTTTCCTGTCTCAGCAAAAAGAGGAAGCTCACTGGGGAATGGGGGGGGGGGGTCCAGATTCCAGCAGCAGGACAGTAACTGTTTTCTGGGACCGGGCCTCGGTGACTCTGGGTGGGAAAGGAGGCCAAAGGAAACCACCGTCTGCCCGCATGACCATATACCGGGCGTGCAGCCCCGTCAGAAGGACCAGCCTCATTTCCAGAATGAGGAAAGCCTCGTTCCCCACCCACACTACCCTGCCCCGTGCTTCCCTCAGGGAAGCCGTCCTGGGACAGCGGAAGGAGGGGACCAGCGCCCCAGAGAAACAGGCAGGCCCTGCCGGGGAGCTGTGCAGGGGGCATCAGGTGTCACGTGGCACCTCCTAGGCGAAATTCAAAGACTTCCTGCTCCTGTCACCCTCTCCCTGCATCCCCTCAACCCAAATCCCTTCTTTAGAGGCTCAGTGACAGATTAACGGAGGGCTGGAAGCAGGTGTATTTAGGGCCTATGCGATCAGAGAACTTGGAAGCAAACTCCTCATTTTAAAGATGATGAAACTGAGGCTCAGAGAAGTAGAGTAACCTGTTAAAGGTCACACAGCTGGCTGCTCAGAAGCAAGGCTGGGTGGGAGCCTCTGGTGCAGGGCTCACAGGCCAGGTGTCAGGAGTGTTCCTGGTGCACATAGAGAATTTGTTCAAACTGTTTTGGGGTACAGATGGGGACCTGTCTCCTCCAGGCCTGGCCTGTGGGGTAGGGGTGCCCTGGCAGTGTGTGGAGATGGGCAAGGCCAGCGCCTCCTGCCCACCAGGTTCAAGTTCCGTAACACAGAACTACGTGTGCGAGTCCTCATCCAGGTTTGGGGGCTAATCTGTACAAACCAGGTCAGAATCTCCCTGGCTCTGGTTTTAGCTGTCATTGCTGAGAAATAAGGTTTTTAAATGCACAGCTCTAGCTTTTAAAAGGAATTTGGTTCTTCTTTCTATTTATTATTTAGGTTGTTATTTAGGTTTTCTTTCCATTTCGTATTTATTGGTCTTTGGAGAAAACTATGTATTTTGGCTCAAGTTTTGTTTTCTGAGTAAGTCTGTGGCGTAAGAGTTTTTATTACAACACGAGTGAGAGGCCGGGGCTCGAGGGGCTGGGGACGGGCTGCCCACCATGTCCAGACTCTCTGGTCCCCAAGTCTGTTACCTCAGCAGGGCCTTGAGCCCCGGGCACCGGATGTCGTAGGACACCGAATACATCTCGTACATAGTGGCTTTCACGTTGAGGCAGCCGATGACATCCTTGGGGTTCAGCTTGTACAAGTCAAAGGTTACTCTCGCGATCCCCTGTCTCTTTGGCGGCTGGCGGGCTGGGATGTAGGTACCACCCTAGAGCCGTGGAGGAAGAGAGCCTGCAGCACTGGCCCCGCTGTGACCAACAAATCCTGTGCCTCTGGTTTTAGGCTGGTTTCAGCTGTCCTGTCAGCTTAAAATCTGTGACTAAGCCGCTAACTATTCGAGGAATGTTTTCAGCAGCAGTGTGTTTATGTTGCCATGGGGTCCAAACCCATAAGAAAGTGCCCTCCTCCAAGCTGCTCTGTTCAGTGACTGGAGATGAGTATGATTCGGCTTCAGGGTCCAGGGGTCAGTGGACAGTTGTGCCGGTGACTTGAGGTGGAAATGCACTCACCCTGGTCACCTAGGGCCACACGGCCGCCTGCTGACGACTGTGCCACAGCCCGCCTGACGGCCAGCGGGCACGCTATTCCCGCCGTATGAGAGGCACCATGGAAAGTGCCAGAATCCACTGCTAAGCCAGGGCTGGTGGCGTGTGATAAATCGTGGGCTCCCCTGATTTCTAGTTCCTGACCTGGAGGAAGGTTGGCCTCTTGGGGACACTAGTGGGACCTACTCTCGGTCTACCTGAGACCCTTGTGGTTGGGAAAGAAGGTCAGAGACCTCTATAAATCCCAGGTTTATAAACAGTCTTCCCACAGAAGCTTTGAGAAGAAACAAGAGAGAACAAAACTGTCCCAGGTACACATCCCAGGTATATGTCCCAGGCACACGTCCTGGTGGGTTTGCTGCAACATGGTCCTGCAGTGTCCAGGATTCAAATAGAGGTACAACTTTCATGAACCTTAGGTGTTGGGAGTAGTTGAGGCTGTGAGTGTTAACTTCTCTGACAAAAATCTACTAAATTTGAATTTAAACCATAAATTCCCCTAAAAGCACCCAAACCCTTCTTGCTGGAGCCCCTCTTCTCTTCCCGCCACCCCCCCCACCGCCCACTTGGACACACGATGGTTGCAGCCCATCGACTAAGGCACCGAGGTCCTGCTGCCTTGGAGGGGGTGTGTCTGTCATTTAGGAAACGTTAGTAAAAATTAAGATTACAGAATCAAGAGGTGAGTTCCACCTGAGCCCCTGACACAGCTCCTCTCTGACGCATGAAAGTTTTAATCTCACTCCCCCAACATCCTTGGTCTTGAGTCAAAATCGAGATGCCTCCCCAAACTCGGGACCTAACAGGGGGTATGGTTTCCATCATCTGGACCCAGGAGACCCCTGAAGATGCTCTGAGGACCTGCTCCCCACGGGACAGGCTCCAAAGCTTTGGATTGAGGAAGGGAGACCCCTGGCGGCTACTTCTTGGAAGTTCTGGCCAAGTCAAGTCAAGTAGCCTCACCTAGAAACCCCTACAAGTGGGGCAGGACTTACGATCCCTGCAGGAAGGAGGTCCAGACGCCTAAGACCCCGCATAAGACTCACGTCAACCAGGCTGTTACCAGACAAAGAAGCCTCCTCCCACCCCGAGAACCACCATATCGGTGCCACTCTCGTCCACAGCCTCCTGTCACCACCCTGACCCCCAGCTCAGTGCCCACCACGCGGGGGCTTCAACCTGTCACATGGCAACTGACTCCCCCACTAAGTAAAAGAGAATTTCACTCGCAAAACAAACAGAACAGACCCTTTCCTTCTGAATTAGTTTCCTGGGGCTGCTGGGACCAATGGCCACAAGCTGAGTGGCTGAAAGCAACACAGACTCATGCTCTGACAGTTCTGGGGGTTGGAGGTCCTGAGTGAGCCGCAGGCTGTCCTGCTGGGGCTGCCGTCCCGGCTCCAGGGTGCCTCTGTCCCTCGGCCCGTGGCCCATCTTCCAGTCACTCCTCTCTCTGCTTCCGCCCTCGCTGACCCTTCTGTGTCCCCCTTACAAGGACCCTGTGATGACACTGCCCCACCAGGCAATCCAGGATCATCACCCCATGCCAAGTCCCCTTTGCCACGTAAAGTGACACGTTCCTGGGTTCTGGGGATGAGGACGTGGGTCATGGGGGCCGGAGAGAGGGACGAGCTGGGTCACGAGCATCAGTGAATAAACTCCGTCCACTGATGCTTCCTCCCCGGGTCTCTGTAAACTACACTCCAGCTTGCGTGGTTTGGGACTCAGCAGTCCCTAAAGCCTCAGGGGGGCAGCTTGAGGCCAGGTGCTCAGGAGAGAGCTTTGGGCAGCTGTCCTCCCAGCGTCCAGCAGAGCTGGGGTCACTGTCTGCCCACAGCGGAGACGCCAGCTTCCCTGCCTGCTTCCCTCTCTGGATCCTGGTTTCCATAAAACGTTGGATTCTGAGGATTTCCCTTTCTTGAAGGTCAGTTAGGCATATAAAAAGATGTCTGAATATTTTGCTTTACATTTTTAGGTGCTTTATGGTGGGAGTGTTTTCCAAGATATATAACCTATAGTTTTCTCAGAAATAAAACCCTTTATTCTACCTCTTTGCTTGCCTAAATCACTGTGTTTACACCTACACACCCCTCCCTAATTTTACCAGTTGTGTCAGCTCGCCATCTCCTGAGGTCACAGACAGTGAGTGGTCACAGGTCATATCCACACACTCTAACCGGATCTGCAGCCCCTCACTGGCCAAAGCCTGACCCTCAGAATTACTGGCTCTAAATCACATAGTCCAGGTTCATAAAGATGCCAAGTTTCCTAGAAACAGTTGAAAGCATCCCTGGAGGGTAGGAGATCCAGTTATCAGGTGAACACAAAGGAAGTATTTGGAAAGTGGGCCAGTCAACCCCAAAGTGGGGACCACACTTCCATAGGTGAGAAGCCTTCCCAGAAGCTGCCCAGACAACACACTTACCGGTGTCCACTTCTGTCCCTTCTCCAGGACCATGAGGTGCGTGTTGTCCCCCAGGGTCTGGAAGAATGCCTCCGTGTCCACCACGGTGCCGTCCTCCTCCAACACCAACGTGACCAGTCCGCTGGCAATAACCAGGGCATCCATGGTCTAGGTTAGAACACACCAGCGTCATGGGGTGAAGTGAGAGACTCCGTTTGGACCCATCCATGGCATCAACTAAATCATGGTTCCAGAAGTGTTGGCCGATTTTGAGGGTTTTAAATGGTAAAGATGTACCTTACCTGGTGTCTATGACTCAGCCTTTGCTTGGAAAAGAGAAGTTAAAAAATCAAACGGACCTAACTTCTTCAGAGGTTTCAACGACGTGAGATAAGGGGTTACACTGAATAATATTCAGTTTCTAAAATGTCCTGCTTATTTGGACAAATAAAAAGAACGACCCTGTATCTGTGATACTTAAAGAGCCGACATCTCTGTCGCTTCAGAGACAGCATGTTGGATTCTCATTTCTCGTCTCCTATGAGTCTATGATTCTTCTTTATCTGGCTGTTTTAGATTAAGGACAATTCGTCCCTGGCCTTTATAACCAAAACCAGATTTCTACAGTTGCTGCCTCCTATATTCCCCCTGTCAAAGAACCAAAGCCACATTATCAATTGATGGCTACTTTGAAGGTTTTTGTCTCTGTACCTAAGTCTTTTATGGGACAGGGACACAGCAATATTCCCTTTAATGTCAGAAGGCTCCCCCAGACCCTCTGAGGCCAGGACACAGACCCTCTGTCTTGCACTGGCTTGTTCCTGGGACCCATGTGGGCTGGTGGGGGTACCTTGGTGAGGAGCTCCTGCAGGCTGCTGGCGGTCACCCCTCGGCGGCTGCTCCTGTCATGGTTGGAGACCCGGAAGGGGCGAGCGGGATGCATGAGGGGTGTGAGCAGCACCTTCTTCGTCTGTGACCCCATAAACGTCAGGGGCCTAGAAATGGAGGGAAAAGTAAAAACAAATTGATGTTACTTTATTTATTTATTTATTTTTTTGCGGTATGCGGGCCTCTCACTGTTGTGGCCTCTCCCGTTGCGGAGCACAGGCTCTGGACGCGCAGGCTCAGCGGCCACGGCTCACGGGCCCAGCCGCTCCACGGCATGTGGGATCTTCCCGGACCGGGGTACGAACCTGTGTCCCCTGCATCGGCAGGCAGACTCTCAACCACTGCGCCATCAGGGAAGCCCAAATTGATGTTACTTTAAAGCAGAGTCTTTAAAGAGAGGTTTGAAGCACACAGAAATAAGACAAGCTTAACATTTGCACCTAAAAGAAAGGAAGCCAATGGTTGGGGATGATTAAAAATTGTGTACCTGACATCCAAGGAACAAATACATAAAATTAAAAAATACAATCATCGTTACACCCATTTTTACCAGAACATTCAAAGCCCTTGCAGTAACTGTTTGAGAAGGAAAGGTAAGGTCATCAAAAGAGAAATAACAATTATATTCTGCAAACATGGGTTTTAGAGCTGAAAAATCTAAGAAAATGATTTCTCCAGGCCGTGTAGTAACCGAACAGAGTTAAAGAATTAGGCACACACACAAATAGTTACATATCTGTACAATACAACAAAGCCAGAAATGTAAAAGCCAGATAGTGTTCACTATAGCAATAAACCATTTTTTTGAAATTAGGATAAATGAGGAACAGCAGAACCCTGTAATCACTGCGGCTGGAAAACCAACCACTTCAGATTGTATGTCTGTCATGTGGCACTTTGGAGTGAGTTCCACATTTATCAAAGAATTAATTTAACAATTCACCACAAAAAAAGAACTAACATAGGAAAAGAAAACAACGTAGGAAAACCAAATCAAGACAATTTTCTGAGAAAAAAATCCCCAACCCTTGATTATTAAAGTTTTGTTACCTAGCAAATACTAAAAAGTAATAAAGTGAAGGATAAATTAAAAACAGCTGATAAGTAGTAACTTTAGTAGTTTTTTTTTTAACATACACATATTTTGCTTTATATGTATTAACTCAATCCTCAAAAAACCTAGTTTTCTCAATTTACAGGTGAAGAAACTCAGACCAGAGAGCGGCCCCACAGGTCAGAGCTGGGATTTAGACCAGGCACCTGGTCTCTGCCTCAGAAAGGTGATCTAGATGCCACAGGCTAAGAAGGAATAAGAAAAGCCTGCATATCATGAAGAGGTGAAGATTTCACAACAATCAAAGAAATGCAGAACCACCTTTGACACCAGTGCTCTTAAACCCACATGGAAGAAGTTGTCTAAATAACTCTGGAGGGAACCAGATGCGCCTTGTTGGTGGGGAAGAAGGGGGTTCTCAGTCTCTGTGGCGACCAGTCTGGTACTGAGGGAGGAGCTCCACCCTAGACAGTGGATGTTTTTATATCAGGAATGTATCTGTAGAGAAATTATTCCCAATATAAACAGAGATCAGCAGTGTCCCAGGTCCTGCTTTGTGCTGGCCACTGTGATAAATGTTGGACACTCAATCTCCTCAGACCCCGAGGGACTAGCACCTGTCATGGCACTGTCCCCCAACCCTGAACAGCGCTCAAATAGGTGGTGACTATTTGGACAAATCCTTGTTCAGTGACAATCAGGAGAATGAAACAAAGGGCTTTATTTTGGGGGACAACCTTGAAGAAGATACAAAGTGAGGACATCACTGCTTTCTGACACTTATAGCAGTTTGTCTAGAGTAACTCTACGAAGGTTAAAATTCTAGGAATACCTGCTCTGTTTGCCAGTGTAGGCCACCTGCATATATATATACTATATATACACACACCTGCATCTATATACATATATATATATATATATATATATATATATATATATAATCTCACACACACAGTCATTTATCTATCTATGCTTTATTTCTCCAACTAGACTGGACTTTCCTTATGGACAAAGGTGACAACCTGGACTTGCGACTGGCATCTGAAGTGCGGGGGGCGGGCGGGGGGCAGTCTTGTGGGGCTGAGCCCTCACCCTGTGGAATCTGATGCCGTCTCTGGGTAGATGGTGCCAGAACTGAGTTCAGGGACTTCCCTGGTGGTCCAGTGGTAAAGAATCTGCCTTCCCTGGACACCCTGCCAGAGACTGAGAAATGCTTGGTGCTGTGTGGGAAGCCCCTCCCCCATCCTTACATGCTAGAATTGGTGTCACAACCTCTTTACCTAGATTGTCAGCAAGAATTTGGTGTGACACATATTTAGCCGGCATCGGGCTTGTGCCTCATGACTGCAGGCATCCGAGCACCTGCCAGAGCCAGCAACGTGCTGGCTTTTTATACATTTATTTATTTATTTTTATTTTTGGCTGCATTGCGTCTTCGTTGCTGCACACTGGCTTTCTCTAGCTGCGGTAAGCGGGGACTCCTCTTCATTGTGGTGCACGGGCTTCTCATTGCGGTGGCTTCTCTTGTTATGGGGCGTGGTCTCTAGGTGTGTGGGCTTCATAGTTGTGGCTCACGGGCTCAGTAGTTATGGCTCTCGGGCTCTAGAGAGCAGGCTCAGTAGTTGTGGCACACAGGCTTAGCTGCTCCACGGCATGTGGGATCTTCCCAGACCAGGGCTCAAACCCGTGTCCCCTGTATTGGCAGGTGGATTCTTAACCACTGTGCCACCAGGGAAGCCCTGTGCTGGCTTTTTTAATATATTAACTAATTTCATCAAAACCTTACAAGGAAAGTATTACCCCATTTCTCAGGTGAGAAAACTGAGGCTCAGAGTGGTTTCTCAAGGTCACCCAGTTAATAAGGAATCTCTCTGAACTTCAAGTCCCAAGCAGTAAACATTGGCCAGAGCCAGTGAAGAAGAGCTGTGGGCTGGGAGGACACCCACAGCTCCTCTCCAGGGTCACCACCCAGCCTGTGGCCAGCGTGGCAGCTGCAAGGGGACTATGCCTAGCCAGTGGTCCCCACACGGCTCTCCCACCAGAATTAGAGCAGCCCAGCGAGGGAGACCAGGGCTGAACCAACCCTGTGGAGGGCCTGGCACATGGCCGCCAGACCTCTGCCCCAGTTCCAGTGAGTTACACAGGCTCCTCATTACACAACACGACAACCAGGGGCCCATGTTCTGCTGGGCTGACACTCAGAGCCCTCCCTGGCAACCCGGTGGACAAGGCAGCGAGGATTATCCACACAATGCTTCACAGCTGGGACCTGGCTCTGTTCTCAACCTGATCATAGCATCATAGGAAACTTGAACACACGGTGAGGAGAAAAGAAAGGTACCAGCACACTGCCTGACCAGGCCAAAGGCGAGCATCGCAGCTGAGTACCAGGGAGGCTCAGGGCGTGGAGGGAGGGATCGTCAGAGTCGGGGGTGGGGGTGGGGAGGTTGCCCACTGGTGAAACCCTCTTCTGGTGCGGGGAGCCCGGGGCCTGCCAGCAAGAGCCTCCCTCTCCCCAGAGCAGGGAGTCATTCCTTTGTCCCCGAGTAAAAGACAGGCTAGGGCCAACCATAGAAGTGGGAGGGTGGGAGGACAAAGTTCACGTCTTGGAACCTGGACCCAGGCCCTGTGGGGGGTCAATGGCATGCCCTGGGCTGAACAGCTCTGACCCAGTTAGTCTGGTCTGTATCTTCTCATCGCCACCTTTGCGAGCCCCCAGGTGATCCACTGACCTAGCTCCGCCCACCACAAAGCCCTCATAGTCTTTTAACTTCTGACCAGATTAAGTGCTGGCAGTCACTCCCGGGGCCTTCCCTCCTCACTGCCCTGAGATAGCCGATCTCAATAAAGAAGGAAGTCCAGTTGTTGCTGTTCTTACGCCGTACGTTTCCCAACAGAGAACTGGGTCACTGTTGGAGAAAAGGCTTAGGAGCCACCTAAAAAGGCCCTGCAGGCGTGAGCCATTCTTTCCAAGGAACAGGATGAGTGATTTGATGTGCTGAATTATATATAATCAAGACTACCTTATAGATGATGTAAAAAGGGGTTAAATGCTATCTTAGGTACACTAAATATACTACGTCTGATTACTCTGCTCCAGCGAAAGGAACAGCAGGGACAACCAGGTACAAGAACAAAGCAACATATTAATCCAGCTCAATTCTGGTCCTCTTAATGGGGTCATTTATGTCACTGGACACTAGACCAAGGCTGAAAATGTGTTGCTATTCCCCCTGAATGCTGTACGACATCGAAGTGGTCACAGGAGCACTAAGAAGAATTAGAATCCAGCTTTTGGCAACCCCTCATGCTGGCCGCCCTCTCATCCCTGGGAACGTGCAGGCAATCACACAAAACAGGAAGGGAAATGGCTCAGTACACGGAAAAAAAAAAAACCAAGGAAACAGGCTCTTCAAGGAAATCGATTGGGGAAATCAAGACGATAAGAAAAGTCAGACTTCACAGAACATTCTGGAAAATTGTGAGGGTGTGTATCTCCCAGAAGTGAAGGAACAGGGAAGTCTCTATATTTTTCCTGGAGGGAGTGAGAAGTCCTCAACTCGTAGAGTAGGAAATAAAGCAACAGGCACAGACTGACAGTGGACGTGAACCCCGCTGCAGTGGAACAAAGCTGGCCCACAGGTCCCAAGAAGGCGTCTTTCTAGGCCACCTTCTGGACTGATGTTTGTTCTGAAAGCGCTGGAGGAGAAAAGCAGGCCCAGGAACAGGCTGTCAGGTGGACAAGTAGGGCCCACGTGAAGAGATAAAGCTCAGACAGAGCTCTGTGCCCAAAGCCGGGTGACAAGGACAGTGCAGGGAAGGGAAGTGTGACCCCAGCCATGGGAATGCAGAGAAGGGGCAGGCCTTGGAAAGCATCCATCAGGCTTGGCAGGGCCTCCGAGAGCTGCAGGGATAGTGGCTGAGGGACAGTCTCGGGGGTGGTGGGGTCTCACCGCGGCAGGAAGCAGAGGAGTTTTGGCCCCTGCGAGGCCTCCTGCTCCCCAGCGGGCCCGGCTCATGGGACACGTGGGCCCCACTGGGAGCCCCATGGCGGGCAGCTCCTGGCTGTGCCTTGACCCACCCAGCAAAATGCTTGGCTAGAAAGCATATCCAATACATGACCGTGAAGTCTTTGAACACTTTGAATATTATTAAAATAAGAGTTTAGACCACGAAGGAGTAAGCATCAGTAACCTGAGTGATCGACTTGTAGAAAAGTCAATTCCTTGCTTGCATCACTAACAAGACTGGTCAAATTTGTACTGAATGGGCAGCTATTCAAAACCTAGAGTTCCTTGTTCAAGGAAAGAGGTACTAAATAGCTACAAAAGCAGCTACTTTGCACAAAGTATAAAGGAGATCAGCTCTGTAACAGCCTCAGGGTCAGTGTGAATGTTATCAAAGCCAGAACACAAAGTCAGAGCAGGCTTCCTCTGTGGCAACACACACCCTGTGGACACCCTGGGTGTCCAGAGCTGAGCCAGGAGACCTTGGGCTGCAGCTGCTGGGTCTGCAGCCTGGACTTGGCTTTAAAGAAGGCAGAAGACAAAAGTTTTCCTTTCAGCAAGTGTTACAGATGGTGCAGAAGCAGGTGGGGTCCCAAGAATTAGAGCAGCTCAGTTCTCAAGCAGGAACCCAATGACGGCGAGTCCCCACAGGTGGTCCCTAGCTCCCTCCCAGAGCCCTGCACTCAGGGCTGTCTGAGCAGGTCAGTCCTTCTCCATGTGCTCATCTGCCAACATTTCAGAAGCAAGTCGCTTCCACCTCACACAGAGACGTTTTGGGTTTGGGATTGTGCTGTAGGGTTAGGTACAAAGGCAGGGGCAGCCTTACTTCTTCAGGCCTCGTCTCCTCCCGCTGCAGGCCACACCAGCCAGGGCTTAGGGCCCCCTCACAGTCCTTACAACTTGGCCCACCAGCTCAGTGCTGGGAGGGCCTCGGAGAGGTCCATGGGAGAAAAGTTTGGAGGATGCATTACAAACTGTCAGCATTTACTACCCTCGGGAGTGGGACTGGGGGGCGAGTGAAGCTGGAGGCAGAGGAAGAAACCAAGGGTCTTCCCCTTAGGCCTAAGCCACATCAGTGAAGATGCATGAAAGTGTCTGTTTCTCACCTTCCTGGGGTCCTGTTTTTAAAGAGAAAGCCCAAGCGGCAGACAGCGCCCCCTTCCATCTTGGCGGCTCTCTCTAACCTTGGGCCTGGCACAGATCCCCCTTTAAAGACCCAGGTTCAGAAGCTTACAGATCACACTCCCCTCCCTCTCACCCACCCCATCCCTCCAGCCCAGTCACCTCAGAAAACCTGCATTTTAAAGAACTCAAGGAGATCTTCAGAGAAGCAGAATTCCTCCCCCAAGTCTGTAAAGTTACTGCCACCCAAAATCTTTAGGATTTTACAGACAAGGATTGGTTTGGGTTTCCTGGGTGTGAAGATGAACCCAAGAATGGAAAAAACGTGATGCAGGGCCTGGATCACGGGCGCGTGGACCGGGAGAGGAGGCGGCGGGCGTCCGCGGGCCCCTCTACCTCTCTCCGCCCCCCAAAGCGTCACCACTTCTCCCCAAACTCCTCCTTACAAACCTGGGGGCTCAGTCAGCACGGTCAGGGAGCGTCCAGGCCCGGGCGCGCCCCGGTTAGCCCACCACGCTCGGAGCCGGAGCCCGCGCGGCCCTGAGGGTCAGCTGGCCGCCTGGAGGCCGCCCAGCGTCCCCACCAACGCCCCTCGTCTCGCCCCAGCTCGCATCGCGGTCCGGGACCCCGAGAAGCCTGGCCGCGCGCGCGCCCGGGCCTCCAGGGACGGGCCCCGTCTGCACCCGCGGCGGTCGCGGCTACAAACGCAGCCGCTCCGCACTCACCACGGTCACCTGTTCCGCGGACGCCCGCGCACCTCGGGAGCCACACCTGGCGCTGGCGGCCGGCCGGAGGCGGGGAAGGGATCGCGCGCGGGCTCCGGCTGGGCGCCTGGGCGCAGGGGCCGCGGGGGTGGGGGAGCGCAGGGAGAGCGGGGCGCACGAGGACAAGGGGCGCCGCGGTGAGAGGCGCAGGGGGCGCAGGAGGACCGGGGCGCAGGGGGACGAAGGGGGCAGGGGGATGCGGAGCTCGCGGGGACAAGGGGCGCCTGGGGCGCAGGGGGCCGAGAGGGGGCGGGGAAACGAGGGGCCCGAGAGCGGCGGGGTCGCAGGCCCGCGGGGCACTAGCCTGAGGAGGGCTCCGGCGCAGTCCCGGGCCATATCCATCGCTCGGGTCGCTGGGGGCCGGCCTCCCCGGGCGCAGCCTCTTAAAGAGCCGCTGCCGGCCCCGCCCGCGTCCACGCCCCTTGGGCTGCGGACACCGCGGAGGACGGCAGTCGCCACGACCCGGAGCCCAGCAGCTCCGCGAGCTATAGGGGGTCGCCGGTCGGCCTGTCGGAGGTTGGGGCAGTCGGGGACACCACCACGCTGGCAGCGTGGCCTCGGCTGTGGAAAGGCGGGTGTGGCCCCAGGATTCGGGAGACCGTGGGGTGGGATGCACGCAGGTCCCCCAGGGCCGCGCCAGCCGCTGCCTTTGGGGCGAGGACCCGCCCTCAGGGCGGACCCGCCCTCAGGTCCAACCCGCCAGGCTGTCTCGCGGCCGGGACAGGGGATAGAGGAGGTGAAGGACCCCGGGGACTTCACAATCCTTTAGCTACAGGGACGGGACTTTCTCAGAGTAAGGAAGGCGAGAGAAACACCGAGCCAGGGCGAGGGGGTAACCCGGGTCCTACTTGCATGGCCCTCTGAATGGGAAGATGCAATAGCGCCTGTTCAGACCCCAGAAGGGGCGGAGCTGTCAGGGATTCCATAGCTCTTAATTGCGAACTTGGAGCGGACTCTGTTGAGCGGGTTAAGGAGTGGGGTGGTCTCCCAACCCTGGCGCTTTAAAAGGGGTAAACCGGGATGAAAGCGTCCAGCGCCGCCCTGCACGCAGGGTGACTGGCCCTCGCCTTGTCAGCCTGCTGCCCGTGCTGCTGCGAGGAGCCGGTTTCCAAAGAGCTGTGACCTGACCTCTGCCTCAGTCCGGGACTCACTTGACCAGCACAGCAGGCCCTTCTACCCGCTCCCCCTCCCTTTAGTCACAGAGACAAACACATGTCTTGCTCTGAGGGTCACTGGTGTCACCGAGATGAGGGTGGAGCCAAAAGCAATTTCCTTCCAGAGTCCTGGACTCCACAGGGCCTTCCGAGCCCCAGCCCCAGGCAAGGTGGTTCCTGCCCAGAGCCCCGGGGCTGGACTGGGCCTCAGCTGCCCCTCCCCCGACCCACTGCCGTGGTCTGAATGTTTGTGTCCACCCCACACTCATATTGAAACCCTAATGCCCAGGGTGATAGCACTAGAAGGTGGGCTTTGGGAGGTGCTTAGATTGTGAGGCCGGAGCCCCCATGGATGGGGTTAATGTTCTTATAAAAGAGGGTCCAGAGAGCTCCCTCACCCCTTCTGCCACATGAGGACACAGGGAGAGGATGGCCAGCCATGAACCAGGAGGAGGTGTCACTAGAACCCGGCCCTGCTGGCCCCTGATCTGGGACTTCCAGCCTCCAGAACCATGGGCAGTAAATCTCGGCCATTCATAATAAGCCACCCTGTATACAGCATTCTGTCAGAGCAGCCCTACCAGACTAGACACGCAGTTTGACAAATGAGAAAGTGGGTCCAGTCAATTCAACTCCCCTCTTTAAAAACTTTTTATTGTAAAAAATTTCAAATATAAAGACATATAGGGGGGCCTCCCTGGTGGCGCAGTGGTTGAGAGTCCGCCTGCCGATTCAGGGGACACGGGTTCGTGCCCCGGTCCGGGAAGATCCCACATGC